GTGACTTGACTTGTGAATGAATTGGATTTAAGTGAGGTAGACTTGCACAAAGTCATCAGCCTCACTCACTCTTCCAGAGTCACTTAAGTATAGTGGCAAGACAAAAGTCAGGACAGCTGGTGATGGCCAAAGATGCAGTGGATGACCTTGGTGTCTTCAATGTCTGACCAAGCTCTATGGGCTCCACAGGGTCTGCTTCAGCTGCCTTCATGGCCATTGGAACAAACTGTTCTCATCTGCCCATTTCACCAGAGGAAATCTTCACATGCTTAGGATATACAGTCCCCTAACTCACCAAGAGGTTTGTGACTGGTCTGTTATTCTTAACCGTCTGCTGAGCCGGTTTACTGGGATGTGGCCACTGTACACGTTACAGCTTCTTGGAGCCACAGGTGACAGTTGAGTGCCAGGTGGATACCACAGGTGGATGAGCAGCCCTGAAAAGGGCTCAAGCAAGCACTTACACCAAAGATGCTAGTCCTCCTTGAACACCCTGATCCTAGAAGTAATAGGAAGCCACTGTATTTTATTTAATAGAAGAATGACATGGTTATACCTGTGCTTAAGGAAAATCACTTTGGCAGGTATGTGGAGATTAGTTTGGGAGGAGACTTGACGCAGGGAAATCAATCAGGAGGCTTGAAACAGTCTAGGTGAGAGATGATGAAGGGTTACAGATACAAGAGGTAAAGTAGAGGTAAAATCACCATAACTTGTGAGGGAACATGAGGATTTGAAGACTGATAGGTTGTGAAATTGGGTGACTAGAGGGATAGTAGTAACCTCAATAGAGAAAGGGATGGATTTTATTGGAAAGATAATAAGTTCTGTTTTGGACATACTGAGTTTGAGATGACTATGGGAGATCCAGTTTAAAATGTCCTCCAAGTAACTGATGATGTGGAATTGGAGACTAAGCAAGAGACTTGATATACAGATTTGGTAGTCATTTGCACAGAGATAATTCATGAAAATGTATACAATCAATGAGAGTGGGGAGAGAGAAGACAGCCTAGGACAAAACAAGATAACAACTACAGAAAAGGAGCATGGTATCAACGATGAACCTGTAAAAGAGACCGAGAAGGAATGGTCACACAAATAGGAGGTGAACTAAAAAAGAGTAATGAAGAAGTCCCTTCTTCTTTTTGGAACTCAATTTTCTATACTATAAAATGATAGGGATATATTCTTTCAGAATAGGAAGTGGACCTGGGATTTTATTAGTTATGGAAACTCCCTCTCCCCAAGCAGATTGGCACCTTCTCTGCAACTTACAACCTTAAAGAGCTGCCCAATACACGGAGAAATGAGTAATTAGCTCAGAGTACCATGGTCAAAGGGTGCCAGAGGCTAGACGGGAACCCAGGTTTTCATGGCTCTGAGGTCCGTTCTCAATCTGCTTCACCAGGGGTTGGTAAACTACAGTCCAAGGGTCACATCCAACTGTTTCTGTGGGTCAGGAGCAAGAATGGTTTTTGCATTTTAAAAATTATTAGCTCCCATAGTTTGCCAACCCCTGTACTACACCATCCTGCCATTCATTAATCAACTCAACCTAGGGGCAGCTAGGTGGAGCAGTGGATAGAGCACCAATCCTAGAGTCAGGAGGACCTGAGTTCAAATCCAGCCTCAGACACATAATACTTTCTAGCTGTTTAACCACGGGCAAGTCACTTAACCCCAATTGTCTCACTAAAATTTTTTTTAAAAAAATCAACTCACTAGTAAAGCATTTATTAAGTTCCTACTCCACTAGAAACAAAAGTGGTTGTGCTGGGATAGAAAGCAGGCCTGAGAACTAGAAAAACCAAAGTTCAAGCCCCACCTCTGACATATACTAGCCTAGTGACCCTAGGCAAGTCACTTAACTTGATGGTGTCTTGGGCAACTCTAAGACTAAATTGCAGAGAAGGTTCAACTAACATTGGCAGAAGTTTTCTCATTCAGTAGTTCCCCATATTAATGAAATCATAGGACCTATTCCTCTATGCAAGGGACCTCTAAGGTATCTTAAGAGTTTTGAGAGTCTGATGCTTCACTGTGACACATCTCCTAGCCTTTACCTTAGCCCTTGCCCTACTCCTGTTTCCCATATCTCCACACTCCTCTCAGCTATGCAACTATCCAGTTAGCTATGTGACCCAAAAGAAGGAAACGAATGTCAATTATGTGCCAGGCACTGTTGCTAACCATTTTACAAATATTACCTCATCTGATCCTTACAAGAACCCTGGAAGGCAGACGTTATTACTATTCCCATTTTACAGTTGAGGAAACTGAGGCAAACTGGGGTTAAGTGTCTTGCCCAGGGTCACATTACTAGTAAGTATCTAAGAGTGGATTTGAACTAAGGTCTTCCTGACTCACTGTGCCATCTAACTACCTCTAAAAGCTATCTAGGTTACCTATCCTTTCCCAAACATGCCTTTTTTTCCCATTGCATTTACCTACCTCTGTACTTTCAGTTCAATATATTTCTCTCTCCTGGAAATAATCTCGCCTTCATCTCCACTTGTTAAAGTCTTATTCTTTTAAAACTCAATTAAAAAACATCACCTTCTTTAACTGTTTACCCAGAACACCCCCACTATAAGTGATCTCTCCCTTTCTCTTATATAATTCATTTTATAGTATTCATTGGTACTAACATCATACTTCTTCCTAGATTATATAAACTTCTGTCTTAGGCAGCTAAGTAACAGATAGAGTGCTAAGCCTGAAGTCAAGAAGACTTGAGTTCAAATTCAACCTTAAACACTAGTGAGAAAATAACTTAACTTCGATTTGCATGAGTTTCCTCATCAGTAAAATGAGCATAACCCCACGTACCTGCCAGGGTTGTTGTGAGGATCAAATGAGATAATATTTGTAAAGTGCTTAGGACAGTGTCTGACACAAAGTAGGCCCTATATAAATGCTTACTCCCTTCCCTTTTTGCATTTTCTAAAGCTCCATTGACTCCAAATCCAAAATTCTTTCTACTGCATCATCTCCTAGTCATCATCAATTCACAATAAGTGAAGGGAAGAGTTGACAGACAAAGAGAGCATGACTCAGAGAAAAATACTGAAATTTAAATGAAATCTATAAAAATAACCATGGCTAAAAAAAAAATCTTCCCCATAAATCTTGATGTTTGAAAAAACAAGAACAGTTTGGATTCCTGTAGAACACTCAAAACAGTCACTATCTCAAGTAGTATTTCCACCTTCAGTTTCTACCACCCTTTCAATATATAATACAATCTCAGATTAATTTTCCTTTCTTAGTTCTGATCATATCCTATTTTTCAAAAACTTACAGTAGCTCCCCACTACTTACAGAATAAAATCTAAATTTCTTAATCTGGCTCTTTATCAATTAACCAGTGAGCATTTTTAATAGATGACTGCTACAAGCCAGCATTATGAGCACTGGGGATACAAACAGAAAAGTGAGGCAGTGAGACCTCAAAGAGTTTAAATTAGACTTCCAAACCCTCTGTAACTTTACCTGTACATAGTGCTCTAGATAAAATAACTTATTCCCTCTTCCCTTTTTATCGTCTACCTTCCTGTCTCCATGTCATTTATTTATGCTGGTCTTTTCACCTGGAAAGCTCTTATGATACATACATATTGACTTACTGACATACCTCTCTGTCAACACATTCTTCCTCATGTAAAATAGGGGTAATAATGGCACCTACCTCTCATGGCTGTTGAAGATCAATCAAGACAATGATTGCAAAGTGTCTGGTATTATTATTATATCCCTTTATTGGATTATATCTGTCCCTCCTCTGAATCCCAAATTACTTTCTTTCAGGGTACATCTCCCATACAGGTAATACATTCTTTTTGGACTAAGACTGTCTTATTCACCATCATCTTCCCCAGACTACCTAAAAGTATTTTACAGTAAGCAGGCCCTTAATTATTTGTTAAAAATGCATTAATTGTCCTTTGCTATGCTACTGTTTTCTACCTTTAAAATAACAAGGAAGTTGGGGGTAGGGGTAGGATCAGGCTAAACCTCAGCAATATAAACGTTAAGTCTTTCATGTACTTCAAGATGTTTTTGTTTCACCCCCAAATTGAAAAAGCTAAAACAGGGAAGTTTAGTTTACTCAAAAAGTAACGCCTTTCTCAATGTACTTATCGATATGTATTAACAATAACACACGATCACCGACTCAGACATGGAAGGTCCCTGGAAGTCATTTAGTCCAAACACGTAAGGACATGAGATAATACTGCACAAAAATTCTGTGTACGTATCTGAATACAAAAAAAAATCCATACACAGAGCTTTGGCACTTGGGCCAAAATACCACACACCCAAAGAACAACATGAGCTATAGCTGTGAACTGGGTTGGATGTGATGGGCTGGATACGCTGTAGCTTCTCAGCCAGCAGAATTCGCGAGGACATGAAGGATAGAAGAATGAAAACCATCATAATGGAAAATTCCTTCAACAGAGTTAAAAAAAAACAAAACAAAATCTACGCTCAATACCTCCTTTATCCAGCTTTTTCAAATTCTGTGCACGCAACGCAACATTCATTCACATTCACACACACACACACACACACACACACACACACACTGCCCCCCCTCGGCTTCAATGGCTCCCGGGGGCCTACCGGAGCAGAGTGAGGCCTCCCTCTAACTACGAGCCCCACCACCTACGCGCTTACTCACTCTCTCACAGGAGGCTATGGGAGACAGGAGGCCAGCATAGACAACAAAATAAAAAATGCCCGTTAGTCACATGATACCTTCTCCTCCTGGGCCACAGGCTACAAACGTGTGGCGGCAAATCTCTACTTCCTCCAGATCTCAACCTCCGCCTCCCCCAGGACCGCCCTCGACCCGGCCGCTGGGATCCTCCCTCAGCCCCGAGAGGCGGAGCCAGCCTGGAAGCCCGGGAGCCCAGAGGCGGATGGGAAGCGGAGGGCAGCTAGCCCCGCCTCTGGCGAGCCCCGGCAGGATTTGATTGGCGGGCCTGCCCGTCAGTCGGGATGTCGCGGCGTTCCGCTCCTAAGGCTTCCGCAGGCGACATTCTCGCTGAGTTAAGAGCAGGGCTCGGGCTCCTGGCAGCCAGGCGGCGTCGGGCCGGGGCCGCAGTGCTTCGGTGGGTCCAGAACGGCGGGTCCCACTCACTGCCTCTTCCCCCGCTTGGTGCCCGTTTTGAGGTACGTTCTTACGGGCGGGGGTGGGAGGAGATGGGCTGGGAAGACACCCAGCCTGGGGCGAGAGAGTTCTAAGACTGGCTCCGGAACCCCGCCGCTCTCCGTGACGGGTTCGAGCCGCGTCCCCCGCGCTGGTCCCTGGACATTGGGGCTATCGCAGGCCGGGAGAGGAAAGGATCCGCCCTGGAGCGGGCTGCCGTGCCCCTCGTGGTCCCTCCCCCCGTACCCCAGCTCCAACTTCTCGCAGGGGTCCATCCTGCGGGGCCGGTTCCTCGAGGCTCCCCGGTCCAAGGTGGACTGAGGCTAGCTCGCAGCCTCGGGGGGCGGTTCGACCCTTGACCTTAGTCTTTTTCCCTGCGTGGCCTTCAGGCTGACCTGACTAAGGAGGGAAATGCCTTTTCTAGCCTTTCTGGAAGGTTTTCTCGTAGTGGTAGGAATGAAAAGTCAGACTTCGCTGTTGCAACTTTTTTCTCTTGCACATTTTACAGGATATTTAGGGAGGGCAAGATTTTCAATAATTAAGTTGCGGGGAATGTCCCTTAGTACTTTTGTAACTGCCTTTTAGCTTCTGCAGTATCAAGATCCATGTTACTTACGGCTTCCATTGGGAGAAACCCCCTTCTGGAGGTTCTTCAGGCAAAGCCTGGACGACCACTTGAATATGTTGTAGAGGTATCCTGGCCAGATGGAGGTTGGACTATATGTCCCCAGGTCCCTTCTCACTTCTGAGATTCTGTGATTCAGTAAGTTGAATGGGATAATGGGAAATGTGTATGTCAACACTGTAGCAAAGGTGTTTTCTTTTTAAAATGACCCTACTCTGCTTTTTTTTTCTTTCCATTCTTGAACTACTAAAAGACTATTCAGGTTATAAGTGAGGTATTTCTATTAACAGTATCATTCAAAGGATGCTTTTTTCTTGTTTTTAAAAACAAGCATTTTGGGAAAAGGTCATTTATTCCTTTGTTTCCCCCCCTCCCCCAGAGAGAAAGAAGGACATGTTTTTTGATCTTACTAAATATTTAGAGGCAGTAAATATTTGTGGGATGCAGGAACTTATGTTTTTCAAATAAATTTGACTTTACCACAAAACTAAGGAACAAAAATTTTCCCTCCCTGTCTTCTGATTTTTTAGTGAAACTTTTCTAAACAGGACTGGTGTTTCAAGACTTAAACGTTTGCCCATTGTTAGTTCCTCTCAGCAACACTTTGAGATAGCTATTTTTAAAACATTTTTCTCCATTTAATACATCAGGAAAATTTTCTATTCTAATTGTCACATAAAAAATCTTTGGGAGGAGGCTTTCAGACCTGAGTTTGCGGACTTTAATTTGACAAAGGTTCTTTACAGAAATTATCAATATGTGCTAGGTATTTTCTGCCATTTTCCCCCTACTTTAAAACAACAAAGAGATTAAAGGCAGTTACTTAATTTCTTTCCTAGTGTTTCAGTAGGGTTATTTTTAAAGCATCTATCCTTTCAGTAACAACAGTTTTGTTTCCTTTCTTTGCTTCCCTGCAGAGCAAAAATGAATGTTGGAGTCGCACACAGTGAGGTAAATCCAAATACCAGGGTAATGAACAGTCGTGGTATGTGGCTGACATATGCATTGGGAGTTGGTTTGCTTCATATTGTCTTACTCAGCATTCCCTTCTTCAGTGTTCCTGTTGCTTGGACCTTAACAAATATTATACATAATCTGGTAAGAACTTTGCCTCCTTATAAAATATTTTGCAAAATTAAAGACATATTAGGGGGTAAAAACAAAAGTGAAGTTCAAGGTAATAAGGAAACTTGAAAAGATTTTTATTTTATAAATTATACTTAGTAAGCTATTCATAGAGAGAATTTGGAATAGTAAAATTTAAGAATACGCTAGAAAATACAGTTCAAAAATAAAATTTTATAAATTCTGTATAACACTTAAGTTTAGCACATATTTTAACCTGTGTTGTATAATCTTTAATAAATGAAAGCCCATCGGCAAATGTTATTTTTCCAGTAATGGTAATGGATTTGTGCTGATCCATTTATACACTGTAACCCAGTCTCTCTTGCAACCAGCAGCCCTTATTTGTATTGGGGCTAACTAAGAGTGGGACACAGTTTGGCACTGCCAGTACATCAGAGTTAGCTGGATTTGCATGGGGATCTAATCTATGATCTTGGCTTCATTAACAAGACACTTCTAATCTGCCTCTGTCTTAGTGATCCCAAGGCAAGCCAATTTATAGATTAAAGTTTACTTCTAAAGATTTTTAAACCAATTATACACATTTGACCAAATAAAATATTTTAAAATGTTTAAACATCCTAGTCTAAGCCAGCGTCCACTCAATTTCTTAAACATAGGGGAACTGGCACTGTTCTTTGCCTTTTTTTTTTAGTTCAGTTTGAATCTTCATACCACACACTGCAAATTTTGAGTAATTATTTTCTTTTTTCTTCAGTGCTAAAGCTTACTATTGGAATCATCAATACAAATGGAATTAGCTTAGCTAGAGATTAAATCTAATCAGTACTTATTGAGCCTCGATACAGTATGCCTCATATTCTGCCTTTTGTCTCTTTGGTACCAAAGGTCTGTTACTAGAGCCATAGAGTGTACATGTCACATTTGTTTTTAAGTAATTATGAGTCAGTGTCTTGAAGTAGAGGACATGGGTAAATAATATAGCTAATATAAATACTCTTAAAAGTTTATATTAATGAAACACTGTCATACTTGTGTATGTAATTTAATCTTCAGGTACAGTTGTCTTTGTATCTGTGTGCTTAGATTGCAATATAAAAGGGTTTTGAAAAGTTAATTGCAGCGAACAGAGGGCTTCCAGAAAAAATACATGTCACTTATTCTAGGACAGGTCCTGCCTTTTTGCCAATTTCTTCAAGACCACACCTACTTACCACTATTTAAAATGAGTTCATTTAGTCTCAGCTGGACATCGGGTCCCTTTGAATTGCTTAATCAGCGTAAACAAAGATTGGAATATGCTTTTTGAAGGTAAAGGCTGTATTTAGGTTAAGTTTTTTAGCATGTTATACTGGCATGTGTTTTTAAAAAATGTTTATAGGGGCAGCTAGGTGGCACAGTGGATAGAGCATCTGCCCTGAAGTCAGGAGGACCTGAGTTTAAATCCAGCCTCACACCAAACACTTGACACTTACTAGCTGTGTGACCCTGGGCAAGTCACTTAACCTCAATTGCCTTAAAAAAAATGTATATAAACAGATGCACTAACTTATCTCAAACTGAATTTCTTTTTAAATTTTCTCTAAAAGAAGAGATAGTTTCTCTGTCATTTGAAGTCCTTTTACCAATGAATTTGTACATATTTGTAAGCAAACTATATGTTAGACTTGGAGCCAGAAAGTTTTATTCAGTGCAGTCATCTCATTTCTAAAATGGGAATAGGCCATAAGATTAAACTACTTACGTCATAGGGTTAGGAGTCAAGGATCAAATGAAATAATGTATGTAAAGCAAGCACTTCCTAACTATAAAGCATTACATTATGTAATTGTGAACTATAATTAGATCAACATATTAGATGTGTAGTATGAGATCCAGATATCATTTTAAACATAGTAAATCAACTTTTTGCAAAAACTAACTTATTATTACTTTCCCCCCAAACAACCTTGATTACTAAAATCTTTGGTAGGGAAAACATGTTATGATGTAATATTGTGAAGAGAAAACTGTGACATTACCTTAGGCTATTTATTTTTGTGTTTTTTTTTGTTTGTTTTAGAAGAGGGAATTCTAACCTAGCCTAAAACAGGTCTCTGTTAAAAGCATTTGAGCCTTTTGGTTTTGTTTTTACAGTGGAGATTTGTACGTGCAACTTTTTTTTTTTAAGAATAAATTTGGCTCAAGACAGGTACAAAGAACTCTTGATGAAAAATGCTATCTACCCCCAGAGGAAGAACTAATGCAGTCTGAATGCAGATCAAGGCATAGTATTTTTCACTTTCTGCATTTTTTTTTCATTTGGGTCTGTCTTTCACAACATGACTAATGAGGTAATATGTATTGCATGATTGAACATGTGTAACCTATAAATTACTTACAGTCTCAGGGAGGGAGGAGGTGAGAGAGAGAGAGAGAGAAAATTTGAAACTCAGAATTTGTTAAAAACGAATGTAAAAATTGTCTTTACATGTAACTAGGGAAAAAATAAAATATTTTTTAAAAAAAGAAAAACTTGGTTCAGCATAAAAGTACCATCAGTTCTTCAAATCTGGTACTTTGGTGGAAAGCCAGTAGCTAAAAATGCATCCTTGCATTTCTGACTACCTGTATACCGAATGTGGAAAGAAGTTAGAAATTCTGTGTATTACACTATAAGCTTTCATATTTTAGTTGTAGATTATTAGCTCCATGGGCCTTACTTTTGTCTGATATCTTTAGCTCCTACCACAGTGCCTGACACATAATAGGTGCATGATAAATTTTTGTTGATTGATAATGGTTCAGCAACAGAAGAAGAAACAAATGTTGTGGGGATTTTTTTTAGTACTGTTTTTGTATCACTGATGGTTTATCATCAGATTGGCCTTGACATTCCAATAATAATGAAAGTTTAAAATTCAGGTTGTTAATATACAGGCATGCATACAGACTCTTTGCATTCTTTCATGCTAATAAGCATGAATAATAATAAGCACAATTGTTAAGTTGCTTTCTGTTGATACACCGCCTTTGTTTTCTAGGGAATGTATGTATTTTTACATGCTGTAAAAGGAACACCTTTTGAAACCCCTGACCAGGGGAAAGCCAGGCTGCTAACTCACTGGGAACAACTGGACTATGGAGTGCAGTTTACTTCTTCACGGAAGTTCTTCACAATTTCTCCAATAATTTTGTGAGTGGAAGTAACTCAGGATTTAGGAAAGCTTGAAGAGGGAAGAATTATTCTAAAATTGTTTTTTGAACTATTGTAGGTATGGGAATATTATGAGAACCTTTATTTCAGCAGGTGGGTGATGATTCTATTCTATAGCAGCAAGTATTGAGAGAGCATTCTAGGAGAACACAGTGCTAAGCACTGGAAGGGATATGAGAAAAGTGTAAGACACATTCTCCTAGAAGAGAGGAGTCAGAACAAATATACATGAAATATACAAATACAAGACAGTGGGAATATCATACATCCTGCCTCCAGTTAATCTTCCTAAAACATTTGTTTGCTTGTATCAACCCCTGATTAGATGTTGGCAGTGCCTTGAGGAACAAATTCATTTTTTATGAGATAGAATCTGTGCTCTTTAGCTTGACATATAAGGTCCTCCACAATTGACTCCTCTTTTACTTTATTGCTCCTCTCCACAAAATCTCTGCTCCAGCCAAATTGGTGCGCTTGGCATTCTTTTACCATGTTTTCTCATGCCATGCATCCTGTGTGAAATTCAACCAGCATCTTTTTTTTGAGCACCACGTTATTCAGGGCACAATGCTAGCCTCTTTTGGGGTATCAGAGATATAAGACATAGTGTCTGCCCTCAGGGAGCCCCCAATGGGGATAGGGAAATAGGACATATAATAATTACTCTAGTTTTTTCGTGTTTACAGAGCACTCTCTCCATTAGAAACCTTTGAGGTATACAGTATATTACATCCATCTTAACAGATGAGGAATCAGCTGAGAAGTTAAATGCTTTACCCATTACCACATAGCTAGTAAAGGTTAGAGGAGGAGTTTGCAATTCAGACCTCCTGATTCCAAATCTGGTATTACTAGAATCTACTTTCACATTCCCTCACATAATACAAAAAAGTGTGCAGGTGTACCTCATTTTATTGTGTTTCACTTTACTGCACTTCGAAGATATTATATTTTTGCAAATTGAAGATTTGTGGCAATCTTGCATTGAACCAAGTCTGTTGGCGCCATTTTTCCAACACATGCACTCACATTGTGTCTCTGTTTCACATTTTGGTTATTCTTGAAATATTTCAAACTTTTTCATTATTATTATATTAGTCATGGTAATCTGTGATCACTGATCTTTGATGTAATTGTTTTGGGGCACTATGAATTGCACTTGTCTAAGATGGCAAACTTAATTGATAAATGTTGAGTGTATTTTGACTGTTCCACAGACAGGCTGATCCCTGTTTCTCTGCCTCTCCTTAGGCTTCCCTGTTCCCCGATACACAGTATTGAAATTAGGCCAGTTAATAATCCTACAACGGCCTCTTAAGTGTTCAAGTGAAAGAAAGAATCAGTGATGTGGCAGACTTCATTGTCTTATTTTAAGAAATTGCCACAGTCACCTCGACTTCAGCAATCCCTGCTTAGTCAGCAGCCATCAACATTGAGGCAAAACTCTCTACCAGCAAAAAGATTACAATTCAATGAAGGCTTAAATGATAGTTAGCATTTTTAGCAATAAAATTAAAATATATACTTTTTTAGACATACTACTACTGCACACTTACTACAGTATAACGTAAACAACTTCTATATGCACAAGGAAACAAAAATATTTATGTGGCTTCCTTTATTGTGATATTCAATTTATTGCAGTTGATGGAACTGAACCCAAAATGTCTCGGAGATATGCCTATACAAGTGTATGAATGGTATGAAGAAAGCTTTAGGGGAACTTGAAGGAGAAAATGAGTTCCTTTCCACATATGTAAAACCTGTGCTTCCTTTAAGCCTTGCCTTTGCTAACCACATAGGTGGTATAGTAAATTGAACTATGGTCTCCTGTATCATATACTTAATAGCTCAGTGACTGGGCAAGTTGCTTAACCTCTCTTTGCCGCAGTTTCTTTATCTGTAAAATGAGGGAGTTGGACTCTGGCTTCTAAGGTCCCTGACAGTGCTAAATCTATGATTCTATGAGCTTAGCATTCAGTGGTTACACCCCACCTATATCATTCAACATTGAGCACTGGCTTCTTCAGTACTTGAGATTTTTGATCTCATCAATTTAGTTCTCCTCTTCTTGAGCCTTTGATACATTGTGGGTTTTATGTTGTATCTTTTTTCCTTAACTTGATTCTAAATCCCTTAAAGCCATACCTTTTACATCCTCTTTGCATTTCTTTTCTACCATATGGACAAAATGCCTAATGCTTAGTAGGCTCTCAGTAAATGTTAATGATAATATTATCAAGTGGTATGGTGTGTGTGTGTGGTCTTTAAGTGTGAAATTAGAAAAAGAAAGATAATTGTGAGCTAGATTAGTTGAGGGCAAGGCTTCATTTAGGTGACAGGACTTGAACTTGGACCCAAAAAAATGGTTAGGATTTGAAGACTAGACAGGAACGCATCACAGTTTGTGGGAACATGTTCATATCATATAGCTCCTTTTCTACCCTAATATATGTCATAGTGTTTTGTACAAAAAGAAAATTGTGACTTTTAGTCTCCTCTGATATTTTCCCTCAAGGAAATAATGACCTTAATGTGGTATGGATGCACACAACAATAAAGCAAGTGTTGTGTAACTGTGTTCTAATAATATACAAAACCCTAATATTTTTAAATTTTTATTTTGTGCTGCAAGTGTTATTTAAAATCTTTTGTGAAGCTGTCTTCAAATATTATTATTATTATTATTATTATTATTATTATATTATTATTGTGCTTTACATTCTGCTGTGTTTCTTCCACATTTTCTAGATGAAGACATTCAAGGGTCAGGGAAATTGAGACTTGCCTAGAGTATTATAGCTATTTGGTGGCAGAGCTTAAAGTTCTTGAGTCCAAGTCCATTACCTTTTCTACCATACCATACTGCTTTCCATGTGAGGCAGTAGGATTTGTCACTTTTTTTTACATTGCCCCAGGATTTTTAAAGTTTTGTAAAGAGGTATCATGAAATTCTTATTTTAACTTTAATTATTTTAAATTTTAAGCTATAAGCTGGCTAACACCTTTCAAAAGTATGAAATGAAATGACATAATAAAATTTAGAGCTCCAAAAAGATTAATAACTACTGATGTATAATATTATATACACAGAAGTATTAATAAGATAAACATAAATAATATCCTGTTTTGTATAGCATGAAATAAGGGCAAGAGGAGAAAGCAAAAACAATGGTCTTCTGGTGTAGGAATGTATTAAGTGAGAAATGCTAACTATCATCTGAACTTTCACTGCAGAATGAGCAGTGGTGTATTGTAAAGGTTTAACAACTAGCTCTCTAGAAAAGTGTGTATATAAGGTATCACAAATTACTATAGATATACCTATGTAAGGTATTACAAATTATACTGATATAAAGGATGGGTAGTATCCAACTTCAAAATAATAAAATATATAATACTCTATTATAAATCTCATATAGTCAATTGATTCCTGAATACTTTCATTGATTCTTGCAAAACTCTTTTATCCATAGCCAGTCTAAGGTTGTAGTTCAATCATGACTTGACTTAAAGATTTGCATTCCAATCCATTCTTTTCCTAATGAATTTATTGTCATTAAATCTGATATGTAGTCTACTATTAAACTTTTTCTCACTCTCATATAAATTTTATTCATTAACCTGAAATGTCTTTCAGCTTTAGCACTTCTGATTTCAACAGTGCTATGTGTATCTTTTTAGCTTTTTATATAGTTACTGGAATTAGAATCAGTTTCATGTTATAAATTTTCATTTAAATGATGTGTTTTTTTTTAATTGCCTATACCCATGGTGAAGTTAGTTCTTCATAAGGCCAGCTAGATGGATCTAATAAATCAGAATGCTTTCATTGTTCCTCTCTGATAAAATATGTAAGTTCATGTGTTGAACTATATTTTCCAGTAACTATTCTGAGGGAAGAGCATTAAAATTATTCTTATTAAATGGAAAGTCTTTAAATTTACCTGACTTAATCAGATATTTAAATAGAGATTAATGCTTTCCAATGCCAGTCTTTAAATTTTCAAAAGCTCTTATGGTATTAATGTTAATTGATCTTGACTGCATTGCAGTTGAAAGTAATGAAAATTCTTTAAGACTATCAATCATTAAAGCAAGGTCTTGCAAGAAATTAATGTTAGGCTCTTTACCAAACCAGAATAAGAGGAAGAAATACGCATACATAACCTTCAAAGGATAGATGCTTTCATTATCCAGCAGTAGCAGCTTGTAAACCACATGCTATTCATTTCCAGTACCAGTACTGGAAATTAATAATTTTAATTTCAAGTTCTTTACCTACAGCTGCTAGTTCGGTCTCATTTAAATGAGATTTATAATAAATAGAATAAATTTTATCCAGAAATATTTTTAAGTGGTTAATTTATTTTATTTCAGATATTGAATCATCAAGTGATAAGTACTGTTGATTTAAACAGTGCCAAATGATAAATTTTAGGAAAATTTCTAACAACTTTATAGCTATTCTAGACTTTCTTAACGATACCAGAACAAAATGCAAATTTAAATTTGCTTTTAAATATTCATTATTGAAAACACAGTTACTTAATGTAGACAGTAATGTATTGAAAACAAACTCTGCTGTGGTCGACAAGAGTTATCTTAAAGCAACAGATAATACTACCTTTCTAGTTGCTAATTGAACTGTGCACTGGAGATAAATCAATATTGTGCTTTTCTTAGAAATTATAGATGCTTCATCAGTCATGATACAGATTTTTGGCATTCTCTTCTATAATATTTTTAAATATCTTCACCTCAGTTTCTTTTGTGATGTGTCTGCTGTTGTTGTTGCGTTGTATCATGTATATAAATAATTGCTTACATTAGTTGTCTACTCTCTTTCATCCAGATATTTCTAAAAATGTTGTGGATAGCAAACTGAGTAATTGCTTAGCTATAGTTGTGTACCTGGATGCTTACTTACTTTCAAGACTAGCGCATAAAGCAGAATTTAAGAATGAGGGCAATGGGTTAAAGAGAAGGATGTTAACAATAAGTTTTGTGTTTACCCCCCTGAACAGATTAGAAATTATCTGCCCACACAAGAAACTACCTTTCCATTTATAATCACAGAACATTTTATATATTTTTTTGTGTCAGAACACTTTTTGCAGCCTTAGGCTTCATTCTAACATATGTATCTAGTAGTAGGTGGTGTTAGCAGAATTTTTTTTTAATTTCATAAAAACTAAGCTTTGTCATTTGAATCCAAATGTTTAGATATAAACAAAACAGTTGGAATTTACAAGTGTTTTCCATTTTTCCTGTTTAACTGGTTATGAACTTGTTTGACTACAATACCAGACCTCAGATGAGAGGACATCCAAAAGGCAATGTTTTTGTTTTCTTTTTAAGACACTGTAAACATTCACTAGCGCAACTTAGGTAAACATAAAATGTTCATTTTTTTTGTAACCACTAAATATATTAAATCCAGAAACTAAATTTCTCATCTAATTTAAATCATCAAAACTTTGCTAAGTATTGTCTTTTGTTTTACTTTTCTCCTCTTTTGTTCTAAGAAAGTAACTGCACTTTACTTGCATGTAACTACTTTTAAAAACTTTATTTCAATGAACTTTCCTGTTTTGCGTATTAAAAAACTTGTAACTATTTTTTTAAACCCTTACCTGTTTTTGTTTCCACAGGTATTTTCTGGCAAGTTTCTACACCAAGTATGATCCTACACACTTCATCTTAAACACAGCTTCTCTCCTGAGTGTGCTGATTCCCAAAATGCCACAACTGCATGGTGTTCGGATCTTTGGTATTAATAAGTACTAAATTGAAAATGTGAAACAACCATTCTGACCAAAACTTTGTGGCTACTGCTTTTTCTATAAGGAGGAATAGGTAGCATGCTATGCCGTTTACATTGTAATGTGCAATGGGAAGTTTTTACATTCAAGGTCTAATACTTATTTGTATGCTATTTGGAAAAGCAGATTTTTATGAGATGCCTCTAAGTGTTTAACAAGTCTGCTAAATTTCTGCAGAAGTTTTCCAGGAGAGCAGGGCAGGCCCCGCTCACAAATGATTGACAGTACAGTAAGAGAAGAAAAGCTCTGCACATCAACACAAGAGTCTTGAGGATAGGAGTAGCTTAGTTTAATGAAAGGGCACTATGTAGGAAGAGTTATCCAATCAGACACAGTCAAGTTGAAGTACATTTATATTTGGAGCAGAATTGCCCTGTAAAAAGGTCAAATGTCCTATACCTAAGACAGCCAGCTCTTTTTTGTTTTACAAATGTACTCCTTGTTTTTGCTGGCTTACTGTCTTATGTCTAGACCTGGTCAGTTCTGGATGTATTAGGGGACAGATGTGTCCTGGTGATGTACTTCAAACCTCATTAATAGGTATCATTGTGGCTTCCTGCAGTTTTCTAGCGAGTCTTCAGATATTAATTTAGGGAAAAGCAAAGTTCTGCTGATGTTTTTTCTGTTTTAAAAGGCTGCTAATCATTTTTGGAAAAAACTAATTTGATTCCAGGCAGTCTGAAGCATAATGTGTAATTCTCTGATTATCTAGTTGAACCATTTAATGGTTAAAATCTCTTATCTGGAGGATAGTTACATACTAGATAGACAGCTATAAATATAAGGAATGAGTCATCTAGTAAAAAAGATAACTTTCTCCAGCCATGGTACAAAGTAAGCTACTAAACACTGGGTCTTTTTTTTTGTAGCTTTGCAGTAAAGGAGTATACTTTCCCTTTATAGTTCCTTTTCTCCATCTCCACTTTATGTATTAACTGTACTTTCAAGATGGGAATCTATTTAAGTGTTCAAAGAAGTGAATGTAAAGTTACCATTTTAAGTCAGTTACTAGACTGTTCTTTGAATTAGAGAACTTGTAGTTCCTGGCCCTGAAACATGTAATTCCTTATTTGAGGTTTTCTCAAAACTTTTTGTTAATTATAATTAGCTATTACAAACATCAGAAAATAAATTATTGAAAAATTAAACATTCCAAAATTCAATGATTTTTGGAAAATAAACCAAAATTAATGATATAAAGTAGTCTCTGACTACTTAATCAGTTTATCCTAATAAAGCCACACTATCTTCAAACTGTCTCTTTTGGGGAGATCATTGTTTTGCATTGTTGTGGAAATCAATTGTGTAATTGACTTTGTATGTTTTTGTTTTTTTCCCACGTTTTGAAACACTAAGAAAAATGTGTGTTTTACTTTAATAAATAGATTTTTTTTTAAAAAAAATGGATGTAAAATTATTTCAATAAATGTAAAAATTGTCAACTTCCTAAAATAACCCTTTCCTAGTTTATTTTAAATCAGTTTTTCATACAATTAAAATACGTTTCTTTTTTACCTTCCTTAGGGAATTTCTTTCAAAAAGTGTATCTTACTTAGAAAAGCTTCTTTCCTGCCTTCATAGCCTTTGTGTACCATAGGGCCAAGATATAGTATCTGGCACTAAAGACAAGCTTTCTTGACTTGCTTTCATATCATAGTTTTAAAATTTAAAATATTACCTTTGTTATAAGCTTCTACAAATTTTTATATTCCAGAACAGCAGATAAAAAAGGATATTATCTCTTTTGGACATGATCTAGAACAGCTGAGGTTTGGGTTTTTTCTTTTTTTTTTTTTTTTAACATTTTTAATATTGCAGCTGCTACCAAACATAGGCTAGGACAGGTGCTGACATATCTATGTTAGCAGGAGCCCTGAGACAACTGTCTGTGTCCTTTACAGATGACACTAGATAAAATTCTCCTTTTCTCCCCTCAACTATTAGCCTGTTCCATCAATTCTCCCCCCCCCCCATTCACATTAATCACTTTTTTTTGCTTATCCCTGTGGTTACTTAGTCACTTTTCCTGTGTATGGTAACTACGTTCATTATCCAGCTCCAGGGCCTGGTCTCAAGAAAATAAATCAGTAGTTGTCATATTATGTCCAGAATAATCCTTCAAAATATCTATCTTTTGCTATAACTTTCTTCCACACCAACCAACTGGACCTTCTTTTTACTTTGTCCCTGCCCAACCATTATAAAGGTACTCCACACTACCAGTCATCTTTAAGTGTCCAAGCCAGTCATGGAATAGCTGGTCTCAAAACCTTAGCCAGTGTAAGCTATGAACTACTACCTCTTTCCCTTTTGTTTCTCTTATTCTTCCATATCCCTATTCTTATTAGAGAACTTGACTTGGGATGGGGTTTGACTGACTCATTAGTTGTGTGACCAATAACACATGGAAGTCATTCACCTTTCTGACCTCTAGTGTCTCCTCATCTGTAAAAATGAGATGATGAACATTTGCATTATTTAGCTTACAGAGTTACTGTAGGCAAAGTGTTTTATGAACTTTTAACAACTTTTTTTGTCCTTTTCTGGGAAATAAGATTCTTGATACTGGTGCCCTTTACGGAAACCAATGACAATTTGTCAGGAAATGGAAGAGTGCAAAAGACACAGGCCTATAATTAAGGGTTCTGCTTGAACCTTGGTTACTAACTAGCTGTTTGACCTCGGATAAAGTTCTTAATTAAATCTCAGTATTGATTACATCATCTATGAAATAGAGGCATTAGACTAGGTCCTTTCTCATTCTTAATGTGGACTTGTATTTGAATGCAGGTTCTGCCACTTATAAGCTGTGTGTCTATGGGCAAGTCATTAAGCTTTTCTGGGCCCTGGTTTCTCATGGGTAAAATGTAAACACTGAAATTCTTTTTTCCTTATAGTTTTTTTGAGGATTAAATGAGGTAATGGGCAGAAGTGTTTAATGACATAAGGTCTGCTAATATAACCATACAGTGCCTGGTAAAAAAAATTCATAGACATCACAGGATTTTAGTCAGTGACTTTAAAGATGTCCTCATTTTACACTTGAGGAGAAGCTAAGGCTCAGAAAGGTGAAGCAGTTTGTTTGAGGTCACACAGTTAAGCAGAAGAGTCTCAACTGGAATCCACAAAGAAATTAAGCTGATTATTATGAAAAGACTTGTTGCTTGAGAAGTGTGCTCTATACATTGGCTAAAGTAGTTTTCCACAAGCATTTCATTTCTGGAAATAGCATTCACAGAATTAATGGTCAAATGAAATAGAAAAAGATTAATAATGGATTGGGTGTCTATTGATGAACTGCAGGCATAGGTGTCTATGTCCTTCATTTGTGCCAATGTAGGGAGTAAGCAGCAAGGATTACACATCACTTTAAATTATCTAAAGTGAAAGTGTACCATATTGGGTATAGTAAAGATTTTTTTCAGCTATACAACTATAGTTAATGAAATATCACATAGTAGGTCTAATTATTTTACTCTCAAAGTTTAGGAATGTGGTCCAAAATCACTTATTATGGGTCTATCATTAACTACTTTTGTCTACAAACCAATTTTGGATGTGGATCTATCTGCTACTTTGTCATTCATAACACTTTATTTTTTTAAATCTTATTTAATATTTCATTTTTTCCCCAATTACACATAAAAACAATTTTAACATTCTTTTTTTTCACATTTTGAGTTCCAAAATCTCTCCCTCCCCTCCCCACCTCCCCTCCCCACCTTACTGAGAAGGCAAACAATTTGACATAGGTTATATATGTTTAGTCATGCAAAATACATTTCCATGCAAGTCAATCTGTGAAAGAAAACACACACAAGACACACACACACACAAAAAGTATTTTTGATCTGCATTCAGGCTCTAACCAGTTCTTTCTCTGGAGATGGACAGCATAAGTCCTTTCATCAAATGTCCGATAGAATTGTCTTGGATTGCTGTATTGCTGAGAATAGCTAAGTTATTCATAGTGGATCATCGTACCATGTTGCTGTTACTGTGTACAATGTTCTGGTTCTGCTCGTTTCACTTTGATCAGTTCATGTAAGTCTTTTCATGTTTTTCTTAGAGCATCCTACTCATTGTTTCCTAAAGCACAAAAGTATTCCATCACAATCATATACAACACCTTTTTCAGCCACTCCTCAATTGATGCACATGTCTTCAATTTCCAATTTTTTGCCACCAAAACAGCTGCTATAAATATTTTTGTACATATAGGTCCTTTTCCTTTTTGTTTTTTAATCTCTCGGGGATACAGACCCAGAAGTGGTATTGCTTGGTCAAAGGGTATGCATGGTTTTATAGCCCTCTGGGCATAGTTCCAAATTGCTTCCCTGGTCACCAAGAGTGTTTTAATTTTCCCACCTCTCCTACATTTGTCATTTTCCTTTTGTGTTGTATTAAGCAATCTGACAGGTGTGAGGCAGTAGCTTGGAGTTTTAATTTGCATTTCTCTCATCAATAGTGATTAAGCATTTTTTTCATGTGACTATAGACAGCTTTGATTACTTTATCTGAAAACTGCTTGTTCACATCCTTTGACCATTTATCAATTGAGGAATGGCTTTATCAGAGAAACTCACTGTAAAAAAAAATTGTTTTTTTTTTTTTGGTGAGGCAATTGGGGTTAATTTACTTGCCCAGGTCACACAGCTAGTGAGTGTCACATGTCTGAGGCTGGACTTGAACTCAGGTTCTCCTGACTCCAGGGCTGGTGCTCTATCCACTGCGCCACCTAGCTGCCCCCTAAAAAAAGCTTTTTACAGTAATGATTACCAACTATGTATTTCCCTCCATCCTATTTTCCCGATTTATTCTGCTCTCTCCTTTTACTCTGTCTATTCTCAAAAGTGTTTTGCTTCTGACTTTTACCTTCCCCAAACAGTTCTCCCTTCTATCGGCTCTCCCACACACACACCCCTTTGCTGTCCCCTTCCCTTTCTACTTTCCTGTATGGTAAGATTGATTTCTATGCTTAAATGAGTGTGTATATTATTCCCTTTTTAAGCTAATCCAATTAAAGTAAGATTTGTGTGCTCCCCTCCCCGCTTCCCCCATTTTCTCCACTGTAAAATTGCTTTCAGGCCTCTTTTACGTCAAATAATTTATCCCATTCTACCTCTCCCTTTCCCCTTCTCCCAGTGTTTTTTTTTCATCTCTTATTTTTTTAGATAATCATACCATCACATTCAATCATACCTCTGCTTTCTGTATATGTATACTCCTAACTGCCCTAATAATGAGAAAGTTTTTAGGAGTTATAAATGTCATTTTCCCACGTAGGAATATAAACAGTTTAACCATATTGAATCCCTTAGGATTTTTCTTTCCTGTTTACGTTTTTATGCTGCTTTTGCATCTTGTATTTGGAAGTCAAATTTTCTATTCAGCACTGGTCTTTTCATCAGGAATGCTTGAAAGTCCTCTATGCATTGAGTATCCATTTTTCCCCCAAAAGATTATATTGTTTTGCTGGGTGATTGTTGGTTATAATTCTAGCTCTTTTGCCCTCTGGAAAATCATATTTCAAGCCTTCTGATCCTTTAATGTAAAAGCTGCTAAATCCTGTGTTATCCTGTCTGTGGATCCATATTATTTGACTTGTTTCTTTTTGACTGCTTATCATTTCTGCCTTACCTGGGAAGTCTGGAATTTGACTATAATATTCCTGGGAGTTTTCATTTTGGGATGTCTTTCAGGAGGTGATCAGTGGATTCTTTACATTTCTATTTTACCCTCGGTTCTAGAATATCAAGTCAGTTTTCCTTGATAATTTCTTGAAAGATTATGTCTAGGCTTTTTTTTTTCTTTTTTTTTTTTTAAATCATGACATTTAAGTAGTTCAAAAATTCTTAAATTGTCTCTCCTGGATCTATTTTCCAGGTCAGTTGTTTTGCCAATGATACAATTCACATTTTCTTCTTATTTTTTTCATTCTTTTGATTTTTTTTGTTTGTTTCTTGATGTCTCATAAAGTCATTAGCTTCCACTTGCTCAAGTCTAACTTTCAAGGCATTATTTTCTTCAGTGAGCTTTTGTACCTCCCTTTCTATTTGGCTAATTCTACTTTCTAAGGAGTTCTTCTCTTTAGTGAATTTTTGTATATCTTTTCCCATTTGGCCAATTCTGCTTTCCAAGGCATTCTTCTCTTCATTGGATTTTTGTGCCTCTTTTACCATTTGGTCTATTCTGTTTTTTAACGCATTATTTTCTTCAGCATTTTTTTGTGCCTCCTTTAACAAGCTATTGACTCTTTTTTCATGATTTTCTTGCATCACTCTCATTTCTCTTCCCAATTTTTCCTCTACCTCTCTTACTTGATTTTTAAACTCCTTTTTGAGTTCTTCCATGGACTGAGAGCAATTCATATTTTTCTTGGAGGCTTTGGATGCAGGAATTTTGACTTTGTTGTCTTCTTCTGAGTGTGTGTTTTGATCTTCCTTGTCACCACAGTAACTTTCCATGGTCAGAATTTTTTTCTGTTGTTTGCTCATTTTCCAGCCTATTCCTTGACTTTTAACTCTATGCTCAAGTGGAGCTCTGCTTCCAGAGTGCAGGGGGCACTACCCTAACCTATAGATTTTTTGTGGAGTTGTTTTCAGAGTAATTCTAGGGACCTATAAGTTTTTGGCTTTTCCAAGGTGGTATGATCTAGGGAGAGGTGTGTTTACTACCCTCCTGTACTTTGCAGTGGTTTGTAAATTCCCTTGAACTGTGACCAGGATCCCTGCACCCCTGTGGTCACGAGCTCTGCTGTGCTAGTGCTCCGCCTCACACTGGGATAAGACCCAGGACTGTGACCCAGATCCAAGTATAGGCAATGCAGTACAGTCTTGCCCCTAGTGCCAGCAAAGGGACCCCTGTAAATCTCCTTCTGATCCGTTGTCTGATCCCCTTACCAAGTGTGGGCTGAAGGGTTTAGAAACCACCACTGCTGCCACTGATTCAGTCACTCTGAGGCCTGATCCTGGTTTGGGCAAGGCCCTGTACTGCACTGTACTCCTCTCACACCCTAGTGCAACAAACCTTTCCTGCCAACCTTCTAAGTTATGTTGGGCTGGAAAATTGTTTCACTCCGTCTTTTTGTGGGTTCTGTCACTCTAGAATTTATTTAGTCATTATTTAAAGGTATTTGGAGAGGTTTCGGGGAGAGCTCAGGCAAGTCCCGGCCATCTTGGCTCTGCCTCATTCATAACACTTTAAACAGAATAATGAAGTCACAGTTAGAAAACCTAGTTCATGAGAAACTGAAGTTGTAAACTTCCCTATTCACTATCTTGTTCAAAAAAGATGCTAGAAATGATGTCTGGAGTTATAGGCCTTTAGAGCTGGACACAGTCTTAAAGAAGATCTAGTCCTTTCCCCTCATTTTATAGGAACAAAAGGCCTAGACAATAAATGATCTGCTGTGTTTCAGTTTCATGTCTTCTCTAGGTTGAAAGCTTTGAGTTAAGATATCCTGGGTTTCAGACGCTGAATGTTGATGTAGATAGTACTCTTGCTGGAAGTAATAGATTGGATCGATAGTTTCTAAGGGGCATTCCAACACTGATTCTGTGAGTTGCAGACAGAAAAGAAAAGTATTAAAGTAGATACCTGTAAAGTTGTATCAAGAACCTGAAATTAATAAGTCCAGTAAGATTTAGACCTGGAATGTTAAAGATCATTTAATCCAACCCCCTCGTTTTACAGATTAGGAAACTAAGTACCAGAGAAGTCAAGAATTTACGGTTTACTGGGGGTAAAAGCAGAGCCAATATTTTAAGCCCAGGTCTTCTAGCTCCAAATCCAGCATTTATTCCAATATGCCACAAATTCTCCCAAAGAGAATGAGGCACACAGGTTTAATGTGGGAGACTGCTATTAGATCCAGAAGTAAGTCACAGTCTATGGAGGGCAGGCCTGGGTATAGTAGAATGGGAGAAATTTAGAAGCATTCTGGAAGGGACCATAATGAAAAGAAACATAAGAATCATGCATCAGTAAATGCTTAACTCTTTCTGAATGTTAAAACTACTCATAAATCACACTAGTAAACATACTTAGAATAGAAAACTGAAAACTCAAAAGTCATTTAGGTCTGTTAGACTTAACACATCTTGAAGGTCTGCTACTCTCCATTTGTCCTTGTAATATTCTTATGAGGATGAAGTGACTACATTAAGTCATTAATTTGATTTTGTAGAAGAAAAATGGAAACAAAGAAGTTAAATGATTTACTTGGGCCTAGTGTTTGAGGGGAAAAAAAAGCAGAGAAAATACCTATGCTGGTCTGCAACACTTTACTAACCTAATACAAATTTAATGTAAAATGTAAAACATCATTTAGAAGATGATTATTTGAATATAATTTATAGTACATTCTACTATTTTACTAACAAATCTAACTAGGCAATGGCAGTAAAGATTAAGCCTTCAATATCCATCTAGACCTAATTAATGTTTCACCAGTTGAATTTAAATAGCTGTTTTAAGAACTGTTTCTGTTGGACAAGCTCTTTTATTAAACTGATGATCTGTGTGAAGACAGGGATAAACATTAGTGAACCTGCATCCCTTCTAAAGGTGTGCAGTTATTTTTGTCAAGGATAAAGGGTATGACCTTGACTCCCAAATCCTTATACCCTTCACTTACCACCTCCAATGAAAAAAAAAATTAAGCTACTTTCTAGTGTATTCTATAATTCAGTCCAAAAATAATCATCTAGGTTTTGTTCTATTCTTGGGCAAATAGCTAACTTTAGCATGTAACAATGATGCTGACCCTGCATGTCTGGAATAAAAAGGTGTGGAGCTGCATATTATTGAAAGACAACCATAGCTGGGTGTAACCATGTTGTTGTTATTTAACCTATTTCTTTTGAATCCTAATATGGAGATTTCAATCTCTACACAGCTTCACACCTCTGGGAATATGGAAATGGAAGGTTAATTTTCTGAGGAAAAAAAGGACAGAGAGAGGATGAAGTATCTTCATGAACAATTGCACCTAATTGAAATAACTAGTAAACCTAATGCCCATAGTTTTGATCAGCCAAAGAGTAATGAGAAAATAATAAAGCAACCAGTCTGCAATTTTAATGCCATTCACAACGAAGCAATGCAAAAGGAGATTATAAAATGACCTGTCAGATAAGTTATACTCCAGAATTCTGGAGAAATTTCCAAATCCACATATAACCCTGCCTGAAAAAATACTGACACCTGCTTGTGCCTAGTGCAGTGGTAAGTTTTATGTACTTACAATAAACCACTGCCCACATGTCTTTTTCAACAGAATAATGATACTGTTAATAGAACTGTAGGGAAGTTAAGAAATACTAATTTTAAGGCGACTTACTCTGTTAGAGATAAACTGAAGAAATGATAAGTAGTGAAGGCTGGTCAGGGCAGATAATCCTGTGTACAACTGGCATAAAGGACTGAGACCAGAGCTAGAGATTTTGGAATCATCAAATTATTTTGATGAGGTGAAAAATTGGTAACACTGATTTCTTGAAAAGGGAGAGAAAAGGACCTTTGGGAATACCTAGAATTGAAGAGGCAGCAAGACCAGGATAGTGCAGGGTCCCACATCAATAGAGTAGGTTGTTAGTGTCATTAGCTACTTAAAAGTTGAGAATTGAAAAGGCCAGAATTTGGTCATTTGATAGTGACTGGTGGCCTTTGCCCTCAAAGATGGTTTTGCTGTCATAGGTAATTTCAGTTGGTTGGGTGACAGCTACAGATTTTGTGGTAAGGGAGGAAATGAATATCTCAAAAAGTCTGTCGTCAAAGTGAAATGAGAAACAGCACTAGATCTAAAAGGCAAGTCTGTCGAAAGGAGGGTTGTTCATCCCTCAGAAGAGAGAAGCCTGGAAGCTAAGGAAGAGGTCAAAAATGGTCCAAAGACACCTGAGAGCAAAGGGCCTAGAAACAACGGGAATGCATGGGGTCAGAAGCACAAATAAGAGAAGCAACCTCTTCCCCTAGGAGAGCCAGGGACAAAAAAAAAAAAAGATACACATGACACATATTAAAGTTTAATCTACATTGGCTTCCCCCTCCCCTCACCCCATATTTCTTTCTTAGAAAATCAAAACAAAGAGGCCCTGGTTTTGTATGGCGTTTGTCAATTTCGGCTCTCAGGAGCAGAACCCCCCCCCATCCCTGCAGCGAGAGAGGGCCCCCATCCATCGGCCCACCCCCACACACACACACCCCACTTACCCCCGGCAGCGGGTGAGGAGGGAGGGTCCCCCGGAGGCCCTTCTTTCCCGGCTCCTCTAAAAAGCGCGGAGCTCCCCGCTTCTCACTCGTTCGCCTTTCCAAACCGGTACCCCTTGCGTCTGCGACCTCACCACATTTCCCTGTGAGAAAAGGTTTGAAAGCGTGAATATCTCCCCCCAAAACGGAACACCCGACCGCTCAGCGCGCCAGAGCTCCGCAGCTACCTTTCCATCCTCCAGGCTGAGGCCCGTTTGTTCACGTGACCTTCCCCCTCCGCCTTGGTTGCGTCATCTCTCTGCGCCGCGTCCTGAACCGAGGCCTTCCTCGCGCACGCGTACTCGTGCACGCGCGCACTGCAGGACCTGTGCAGTAAAGGGCTGCTGTGGCCGGGTCAGGAGGAACCCAGTGAGGCGCCTGCCGCGGTCCTTCTGGAAAGAAAGTAAGTGGAGCAGCTTGTCGCCCCCTACGACTTCAGGCTTCTCGGTCTCCCCAAAGGTCCGTTCCTGGCCCCCATTACTCGAGCGGAAGTTGTTCCTGTGACTGCAAACCTAGGCGCCTCTGGCATGTGACCGCGTGGGGCGGGGGTCTGTGAGCCCCAGGTGCTGGGGGCCTAACCCCGAAATCTGACAGATCTACCCCCACCTCACCTGCCACTGAGTCCTGACAAGATCTCGGTTTTCCACATGATTTGTTTCTTATTTTTATAGAGAAACACTAGGATTTTTCAAAGGAATATTCCATATGTAGTATGAATTTTAAATGCCCAAGGTGTGATCTTTGTAATTCGTAAAAAGGAAAAAAATCTGAAAATGCTGAACTATTTGGGAAACAAAGATATAACCATTTGAAATCTCTCTTCTGAATTTAGGACTCATCTCACTTGAATCTATGAAATGAGTAGCCTGGTATAATAGGAGATTGAAAACTCTCCTTAGAGTCAGGAAGGCATAGGTTCAAATTTCTTCCTCTGACATATACTGCCTTCCTAGCTCTTGGCAAATCACTTAACCTCTCAGTATTCCCACGCGACTGTAAGACTATGAGTAGGGAAGGTAAATGCTATATGCTAGTAAAGTGCTTCACAAGTATCAAATCATAGGTCTAGTTGCATCCCGTCCTTTCCTCACCCCCCGCCCCAAAAATCTGTTAAAATATAACCTCTGTAAGATCTCAGGTATACTTTGCTCTTTCCCATCGAGAACCTGGGAACATAAATATATGGAATTCCCCTAAAGGTAGTAACTATCTCCCTTTATAAGCACTCATACTTAAAATATAGATCAGCTTCATTTACCTAGTAAAGTATCCTGAAAAGATTCACATACATATCCTTAGAGTTAAGCCCCTATCCCTCCATTTCCTGCATTGTACCACCTTTCCCTTGGGGACTTATGCCAGGTAATTTATAGAACTATCCTAGGTACCTTCCCAGAAAGGGTAGAGGCCAGATTTCACTCCCTTCACACTGATGATCTTTGCTGCATTGCTCTTTTCCCAACTTCCCATCTGTGCTCCTCCACTGTTAACTATTCTGCCGTGGAGAAACAAATGTCATCAGGCATGCTAACTTACTACTCTAATTAGGGACCTTTGGATGACTTAAGGGGAATAGAGCTATCTCTTGCCCTTAAGATATTAGTTTCCCTAGGTGGTATCTGTCTCTCTGGTATAACCAGTGATGGAGTAGCAGTCAAAAAGCACTACTGCCTTTAAATTCATTCCTTCTCCCAATCTGTGCAGATGTCTGCTATGGACAAATCAACCCTGGCAGTATTCTGGATGTTTTTTTGATCTAGATCTTAACCAGGTTGTCTCAATGTGGCCCATCTAGTGATCCAGCTGCAAATTAGCTAATGGTGCCTTTGTGGTTCTCCAACCTTTCTTGCCACTTCTTCTCAGTGTCCTTTTCTAGCTTGTCATCTATATCATGCCTGCTAATTGTGGGTCTACTGCAGAATTCTATCATAGATCTTCTCTTTCTCTGCTTTGTGATATAATCCACTTTCATCATCTTCATGCAGATAACTGACAGATTTATGTATCCAGCTGTCTCTCTCCTGACCCTTTGTCCCATGTCACCAATTGCCTGTTGGATATTTCTAAGTGAATATCTTCAAGATCTCAAACATAGCTCATTATCTTTTCCCCAAAATTCACCTTCCATACTTCCATCCATCTGTCAGGGGTGCCAAATGTCCCAAATTCTTTCAGCCTTATCATTTTAATTTTCTTTAAGCATACATCTGATCATGACTCTGTCTTCTAAATAAACTTGAACACCTCCCTGTTGCCTCTAGAGTATACCGTGAATTCCTCTCCACCTTTCAAGGCCCTTAGAATCTGAACTCAGCCTATTTTTCCAGCCTCATTGTACATTACTCCCCCAAAATGTACTCTGATCCAGCCAAACTAACTACCTCCCTGTTCCTCCCACGTGGCACTCTCATCTCTAGAGCATTGCACTAGACATCCACCATTCTTGGAATGCATTCCCTTCCTCACCTCTGCTTCATAGAATCCATTACTTTTCTTCAAAAAAAAAAGTTATCTTTCTTTTATTTAACTACCTTCATGAACCCATTCCTTATTGTTGTAACAGTTATTGCCCTCCACCCAACTACCTCGTATTTATTTTGTATATGCTTCTATATGTACATGTTGTTTTCCTCAATAGATTATAAGCTAGTTGAGGACAGGCACAGTTTCATTTTTGTCTTTTGATCTTTAGCACATAAGGATCCTTTGTATCCTTAGCCTGACATATAGTAGACACTTTATAAATGCTTGTTGATTGATATATAGATCCCAGCTTCTTAAGTTGCCTATTCTCCTGCCCTTCTATTTTCTGCAAAATCCAACTGGTTCCCTGTGAGCAACAAGTGTAGCAATGACTTATTTTTTGAGGGTCCTTGACATTCTTTTATTATTATTATTATTATTATTATTATTATTATTATTAATTTATTTTGATTTATCAACAATCACTTCTATAAGCTTTTGAGTTTTAAATTTTTCTTCCCCTCCCTCCTCACCACTCTCCCCAAGACAGGGCACAATCTGATATAGGCTATACATATACATTCCTATTAAACGTATTTTCACATTAGTGATGTTGTAAGTAAAAATTAAAACCAATAGGAGGAACCATCAGAAAGAGGAAACTAAACACAAGAGAAGAAAAAAAATGGCAATTAGTATGCTTCAATCTGCATTCAAACTCCGTAGTTCTTTCTTTGGATGTAGATAGGATTTTCCATCATGAGGCCTTTGGAAATGTTTTAGATTCTTGTATTGCTGAGAAGGGTTAAGTCTATCAATATTAGTCATCACACAACGTCGCTGTTACTATGTACAACATTCTCCTGGTTATGCTCACTTCACTCAGCATCAGATCGTACAAGTCTTTCCAGATTTTCTGAAGTCAGCCTGCTCATCATTTCTTATAGCACAATAGTGTTCCATTACATTCATGTAACACAACTTGTTTTAGCTTTAATTATTTAATTTAATAATTTAATTGTTTAGCTTTAATTTCTTCATCTGAAAACTGCCTGTTCATATCCTTTGACCATTTATCAATTGGGGAATGACTTATATTCTTATAAATTTGACTTAATTCTCTATGTATTTTAGAAATGAGGCCCTTACCAGAGAGACTGGTTGTAAAAATTCTTTCCCAATTTTCTGTTTTCCTTCTAATCTTGTTTGCATTGGCTTTGTTTGTGCAAAAGCTTTTCAATTTAATGTAATCAAAGTTACCCATTTTGCTTTTCATAATGTTCTCTATCTCCTGTTTAGTCATGAATTCTTCTGTTTTCCATAAATCTGATAGGTAAACTATTCCATGCTCTCTCAGTTTGCTTACAGTATCAGCCTTTATATCTAAATCATGAACCCATTTTGACTTTATTTTGGTATATGGTATGAGATTTTGATCTATGCCTAGTTTCTGCCATACTCTTTTCCAGTTTTCCCAGCAGTTTTTATCAGAGAGTGAGTTCTTATCCCAGAAATTGGGTCTTTGGGTTTATCAAATAATAGATTACTATAGTCATTGACTACTGTGTCTTGCATACTTAACCTGTTTCACTGATCCACCACTCTGTTTCTTAGCCAGTACCAAGCAGTTTTGATGATTGCTCCTTCATAATATAATTTAAGATCTGGAATGGCTAGGCCACCTTCCCCTGCATTTCTTTTCATTAGTCCTCTTGATATCATGGACCTTTTGTTATTCCAAATGAATCTTGTTTTTTCTAACCCTATAAAATAATTTTTGGTAGTTTGATATGGCACTAAATAAGTAAATTAGCTTAGGTAGAATGGTCATTTTTATTATATTAGCTCGACCTGTCCATGAGCAACTGATGTTTTTCCAATTATTTAGATTTGACTTTATTTGTGTGAAAAGTGTTTTGTAATTGTGTTCATATACTTCCTGGGTTTGTTTTGGTTGGTAGACTCCTAAATATTTTATAATATCTACAGTAACTTTAAGTGGAATTTCTCTATCTCTTGCTGTTGGGCTTTGTTGGTAGTATATAGAAATGCTGATGATTTATGTGGGTTTATTTTATAGCCTGTAACTTTGCTAAAGTTGTTTATTATTTCAAGTAGTTTTTTACTTGATTCTCTAAGTGTATCATCATATCATCTCCAAAGAGTGATAGCTTTGTTTCTTCTTTGCCTGTCCTAATACCTTAAATTTCTTTTTCTTCTCTTACTGCTAAAGCTAACTCTTCAGTGTGATATTGAACAACAGTGGTGATAATGGACATCCTTGTTTCACCCCCCCCATCTTATTGGAAATGCTTCTAGCTTGTCCCCATTACATATGATGCTTGCTGAAGGTTTTAGGTTTAGATGCTATTTATTATTTTAAGGAAGACTCCATTTATTCCTGTGCTCTCTAGTGTTCTTAATAGGAATGGGTGTTGTAGTTTGTCAGAAGCTTTTTCTGCATGTATTAAGATGATCATATGGTTTCTGTTAGTTTTGTTGTTGATATGATCAATTATGCTGACATTTTCCTAACATTGAACCAGCCCTGCATTCTTGGCATAAATCCTACCTGGTCATAGTGTATTATTCTTGTGATAATTTGCTGTAATCTATTTGCTAATGTTTTATTTAAAAATTTGCATCTATATTCATTAGAGAAATTGGTCTATAACTCTCTTTCTCTCTTTTGATTCTTCCTATTTTTAATAGGAATGGGTGTTGTATTTTATCAAAAGCTTTTTCTGCATCTATTGAGATGATCATGTGGTTTCTGTTGGTTTTGTTGTTGATATGCTCAATGATGGTGATAGTTTTCCTAATATTGAACCAACCCTGCATTCCTGGTATAAATCCTACCTGGTCATAGTGTATTATTCTTGTGATAAGTTGCTGCAATCTACTTGCTAGTATTTTATTTAAAATTTTTGCGTCTATATT